AAGTTGAACTTCTCAAGAATTCCTAAAAAATGTCCTGAAGTAGCATGGCAGCTGTAGCGGCTCAGTACTATGAAAATAACCGCTTTATGTTTGATCACTTCCCTCGCCAGAGAGAATGAGTGCTAGTGTTTTGTCCCGCATGGCTCCTTCGATAAATTCCGACAACGATAAAACACCATCCCTGTTTGTGTCAAAGTTCTGGAAAACCTTAAGCGTTCGTTCCTCAGGTGTAAGTTCGTCCCATTTCGGTATGCCTTTGACCTCCTCTGGTCTGTCACCCATTGTTTTGTAGAGCGCATCGACGATGCGGAACATTTCTTGCTTTGTAATATGCCCGTCACCATTTACGTCGTAAATACTAAAGGCAAATCGAAGCTTCTGTTCCATTGTTCCTCGTGTCGACACCGAGAGAGAACACATAAACTCACGAAAATCTGTGAAAGAAAGTTTGCGGGGAGGCTGGTGAGTATGTAGGTATGTACCTTTGATAGAGAGCGTCTTAGAGGGAGTAGCCTGCAAGCAGGTTTGGGGAAAATTTTCATTGGCGGAATCCAGCGCGCGAGAAAAATGGGGCGAGGAAAAGTGAACTAGAACTTTATTAATAATTTGGTGTATGAACACGTTCGAGTTTTCAATTAAGCAATTGCTTGTAAATTTGTTCGCACCGTCATGTGCCATGTGTCACGAACAAAGCAAAATAACCGCCATTACTATTTTCCTATCACCCTTCCTCAAGCAAACAACCAGATCCAACCTTGTAATTAAGACTGTAAGTTACACCAATTTATTCGTAAATCATACTGTTTTAAGTGTAGAGAACATAAACTGCTCGCATAATTTTCTCTAAAACTTTTAAAAGGCATGGTGCGATTAATATAAGTTTGCCTTTGCTGTGCGTCATTCACTGCTAGGCAAGACGCGCGGCGCCAAGTTAAGTATTTGACACGCAGAAAACGAGAAGTTTTGTTGTTTTGGTAGTAAGCGCCTGGCATACAACCTTCGATTCGATTCTTACTTTTTGGCTTTCCTACACACCATGAATTCACGTAAGAGTGGTTTGTTTGTTTGTTACTGGTAAACAACTAAGTTTTTACTTCCTCCGGCTTCCTACCATTTAAAATGTTTGTTCTGTATTTGTGGCCGTTTTTCTAATTACGTTAGAAAAACCTCTTTCATTACACTAACCCAACTTCCTCAAAAACATTGCGGGAAAAATGATTTCCACAGGGGGACGGGTGGTGTAAGCTATGTCACTGCCTCCCATTTTTTTTCTTTGTTTGTTGGCGTTTTTTTAACTTCGTTGGAAAAACCCCCTTTCTTACACTAACCCCACTTCCCCAAAAAACTTTGGGGGAAAAAGGTTTCCCCCGGGGGGCCGGTGGGGTTAAGTTTTTCACCGCCCCCCCCCCCCCCCACCCCTTGCCACCATAAAAAGACAGTTCTCATTTGAAAAGTCCTCGCTACTGAAAATAAGTATAATATTTAATGGTCCTGGTATGACTACCCTACGAGCAGAGGTTTCTTATAAAAGCCATGCAAGAGGGAAAATTCTGCTCGCAGGGTATGTTATGACACAACGTATTGAAGTCTTACCTTCAGTCAGAATTTAGAGCCAGGCCAACAAAAAAAGCGGAAGGTAGCTTGTGTCAATAAAGTTTTGATAGGAAAGTTTTTTTTGTTTCACTTGGATTTTAAAAAAGTATTAGTTTGCAGAGTTTTAGACTTCCTTTACTTACACAATTAATTTATTTGAAATCGTCAGCAGTTTGCAAAAACAGATTTGAATTGTTTACAGTTCTCCGACTTCGATCCCGCTAATGAACTCCCGCCAAATTAATACTCAGCTGAATACAGGAAATAAATATTTTTAAGGTCATAAATTTTTACTTCATTTTATTTCAGTTCTCCGACTTCGATCCCGCTAATGAACTGCGCCAAATTAATACTCAGCTGAATACTGGAAATAAATATTTTTAAGGTCATAAATTTTTACTTCATTTTATTTCAGTTCTCTGACTTCGATCCCGCTAATGAACTGCGCCAAATTAATACTCAGCTGAATACTGGAAATAAATATATTTAAGGTCATAAATTTTTATTTCATTTTAGTTCCCTTAAACTAAAAGAAGAAGGAAACGTTTTACAATTTTCTGTTAATTCAGATGTTTATTTTTAAATTCATAGACTTTATCTATGAATTAAATTCGAAATGGACGGCCATGTTGTTTAATAAATTTACACTCAAATTGTTTCAGCATTGCTGGTAGCCTACGAATTCACTAGGAGTAAATTGCAAATCCTCGGCAAAGTGGAAACACTTAAGCTTATATGGAAGCGAGATGTTAGTGTTTTATCTGTAAACTCAACATTTATGAGGCAAAACATGCTCTGACAGTTTCGGTGCAGAAATTGTTAACTGCATGCATCGTACATCTGCTCAATAAAACGAAACAGCTCCAGAAATGGAAATAGAAAGCATTAACTAACTAATATTCCGAAAGGTATTGATTATGAAGTTGATAATGATGACTGGATTTCCGTGAAGAATCTCTTTCAACGCTGTTGCATAACTTTAATCTGAAGATAAATCTTAGTTTGTGAACGTACTAAGCTTTACTTTTGTCAAAGTCGTGCGAAACGCTCACTTCGGGGTAATGGCAACCGACAAAAACCTTTCGTCCCCTTTGCACCTGTCTGAGAAATGCTTGTCAACGCTTTTAACAATTACCGAACTTCATTTATTTCTCTGGCACATCAGGCAAATATATATCCACAAAAATTGTTTATGGAAATTAGTAGTTGAAAACTTGGGTACGTTGCTGGCATAAGATAACCTTTTGGAACGATGGTTTCGAGGGCACTGATAAAATGCGTTTGCTGAAATATCAGCGGCAATTTCGTGTGAAACTTTATAGCGAGTTTTGGTTTTCTTCAGCGGCGTATGAACAGGGTTAATGTTATATTTCCTTTGCGCTTCTCCTAACGCTGCTAAGCTCTCTTTTGTCGAAATGGTATCTTTAGGACATATTCCCGCTTTCTCAAAAACAAGAAAAACTACCTCACTGAAAAGAAAAAAATATATATATTCGTGCAATAAGAGGCACGAAAATTCAATTACTGACCAATGTTTAATTATTCATGACACTTCGGAACACACTGTAAACACGAGTCTTTTTTGCAACATTTGTTTTGATCCTCGTCAATTTTTGTCTTCTTTTGAATCTTGGGGAAATAAATTTTGTTCTGCGAAATTGATAAAGAGTTGTTGCGAGGAATTTAAAGGCTTGTTACTGATAGAATGCTTTAGTTTGTCCCCATAATCCGTAACAGTTACAAAGGTATTATCTAGGCGACATTTGCTCTCTCGATGTGCTGTTTTTAATTTAACTTATCGACTGAGACTTTATTTCAAAATGAAAGTGTTAGGCTATTGTTATACAAATGAAAATAGTTTGTGATCAAAAGAAATTGGATGAAATAATTCTATGGATTTCTTTCACGAAATACAAAATAAAATGAAATGAATTAAAGTAAAACCTTTTCTCATATTATTTTAGGATATAAACATTTACGCGTCTTACCAATTTTTTCATCTCCGTTGACATCAAATCGTCGAAAAACACAGGCGGCTAGCCGCGATGCATCTCCCTTATCAAATACTTTTTTGTACATCTCTATAAACTGTTGTTTCGTCAAATAACCGGTCGGGCAGTCCTTTAGGAAACCTTTGTACCAAGACTTGAGCTCTCTCTCGTCGAAATTTGTGTGTTTTAGGAGATCACCTAAAACCTCAGGATCAAGCTTTTTGCTTTGTTTCTTGCCCATACCGCGAAACCACGGTTTGGAGCTTGTCAACTGGTTTGTTGAGTCGCGCCTTGGTGAAGGTAGTTCACAGCAATATGGTGTCTGCCAACCAGCTTTCGTTTTCTTTCTTTTCGGTAGTTTCTTGGTTAACCTTACTGCCTCGGGTCGCAGTTCGATTTGACAGCGTGGTGGTGACCTAGTCTCTTGTTACCAGATGCTGCATTTGCTATCACATTAACAACAATTATTAACGCTGGCCACCCATTGAGGGCAAATCAAAAGCCATTCGTGCTACAGTCCAATAGCATTAAAAAAGGTCAGAGACGTGACATACCAGGGCCTCTGTCTATATGCGCTGTAAACCTAAGGTTCAACCGTTATGCAAATATAAACATCCCTTGCTTACCACCGTAGGGTCTTCTGTCACCATGAGTCTGTCATGAAACACCAAACAGTGACTCGTCAATCACCTGGAATAAATTACTCGCACTAGAAATGTTGAAAGTTTCTCTTTTATGTGTTTGATTGACAAGTTCGCTTGGCGAAAAGATTAAGAAAACTCACTGAATACAATTTTCAAAGAAGTTCTGAAGGCTTTTATGTAAGCGATTTCTCGCCTGTCAAATCTCATTCTCTTTCATAGGTGGCGTGATAATTTGAATGCTTTTGCATATATTAATATTTCTCTTTTACGATTTTTAATTTGAGGGACCATTCTCTCATTGTTGTGAGCCCCGCACTATCATGAAGGAGAATAAATTAAGAGTGTATTCAAAAGATAGGATCTCAGTTTTTAGTACCTTGTTTTCCACGAAAAGCGAATATATTGTTCCAACCTTGAATTGCTAAAGGGTTCTTACCTCAAACACCGCATAACTACAAATTGTACGAAGAATTTAGATAAAATTGTTGAAAACGATATTTTATTGAAATACGTCAGTCATACAAATGTTTTTTTGCCAATCAAGCCTTATAACTATGTTGTCGTGTTTTAAATGTGTTTTAGCATCAATTTTCCACTTCGAACTTGTGGGCCATTTGCGGGATAAACTTAACAAGCCCTGAGCAGTTATTTCCCTCTAGGCAAAATAGATGAAAGAGGCTCCAATTCTCCTTAATTGTGAAACAACCATTTTAATCAACTTGAATTGCAAACGTAAATATTTTGAAGTCTCTTTAAGGAGGATGGCATCCAAACTTAGATTCAGTTTAGTGCTATATGGGATGGCTTTTTTTCCTCATTAATAAATGTTTGAGTCATAATGAAAAATTGAAGCCTAATACTAAGGTAATTGCAGATGTTTGTGACAAACATTTGTTGCCAGGCTTGAAAAATGCTCGAGATGCGGCCACGCGTCTCAGTGAAACAACATGTTAGACGTGTTACTAATGGAGATGTGTCAGTACAAATACAAATTGACACCAGCAGCGTAAAAGCATTGCAATATTAAAATGATCGAATTAGTGGAGAAACTTGTAGAAAATTGTACATCAGGTAGAAAAAATCTTTACTTGAAGAAGAAAGATAAGAAATGCTAACGCAGATAACTCACATTTTTCTTAATGGTAATTCGTTATCGCATAAATTCAAACAAATTCCTTGACCAACTTGTACTCTGAAAAATGTTCATTTTACGATGGGCGTTAATGAGAATGAAATAGTAATAAAATGGATCAGTGAGGTCCGCATCACACGGCGGAAGTCGGAGAGAAGAAGTAAAAGAGCCGGTAACTTTATGATTCATGTCGCAAATGCTGTTGCCTTCGATTTTTCCCTTTTGAATATCTTTTAGTAAGGGCTTGGGAAATGCTATTGCCATTCTCTCTTGAATATCTTGACTTGATTCAGAATGGAAAGATAAAGCAGATAAAAGAAAAACTACTTACATAATAAATTAATTTAATGTTTTTGAAAATCCTGCTAGGCAATACATCATTACTGAATATAATACTTGCGTGGTTGCCTTTCCTTTCATTCACGCATTCTTCGTTAGTTTTCAAATTATAATGAAAGTTAAAATTCACAGTTTAAAATTATCGGTAAAAAGCAATTTCCGTAAGCGAATACTGTTTACTGATTAATATCTGTTATTCTTATTATTATCAGTAACCACTATAGGCGGACAAAAGCATATTGAAGTTTTTTTTTCTTTTTTTCTTAATAATGTTCTTAGTGTCAGATTAGAAACATAAATTCCACGAATATGCTTCTTGTAAAATACGCCTGAGGTCAGGAAAATAAAGAGAAAATATTGTAAATATATATAGCGAGCTAATAAGGCTTTTATGTTGATTAATAAAACAAACGGTGACTTCAACCGATGGGGACCACAAGATAAATAATGAAAGGGATTCAAAGTGAAGTGAGGAAAAACGTTCTACATTTCATTTGACGATAAATACTGAATTCTGTAAAAAGAACTTGAGAGGGCCTGTTAAAAGACCACAAGCATAATATGTTCGGACTGCCCTTAAGATTCAAAACTAAAGTTTTCCTTGTAAAATGTCGTCTCATTTTCCCCTGGCAGTGGGAGGGGTGCCATTAATCCCCCTTTTTTGGATAGGTAACTCTAACATCGCTCATTTCGATCCAGTTCGGTGGAAGCTAGGTTTTGAATCGAAGTATATTTGTAAAGCATAGAGCATTTACAAGTGATCACTACCTTTAAAATGCCACACCATGGTAACGTAACGTCAAACGTCTCCTCTCTATTTCAACTGGCGCGGCTTCGCAACAGAAAAAAACCCCATGATATTTATTTTTTTGAACCTCCATGATACTAGTAAGCTAAGCCGTGAAAGGTAAAGTCGACGTTGGATAAAATATTTAAGTGTTACAATTCGGTTAAACTGTATTGAGGACAGAAGTTTTTTTTTTTTTTGCGCGAATATTAATATTCTTAATATTTTGCGATCTTTGGTTATGGTCACGATTAAAAAATATATTAATCTATTTTTGTCACTGTAGGAATTAAACGTAAATTAGAATAGCTTCAAGCTAATATCAGTGGAAACTGGGAAAATGATGAATAGTTTTTTCCTTCCACTGTTTCACAATGCAACTGGTGGAAAATAGTCAAAAAACAATAATGACTAATGAACGTGTCATGGACAGTATGGACGACTGAGCACTTTATTGTAAAACGTCAGGTTGTTGAGCGGTCCACCCATCCAAAGCCACCAAATATATTTGAAATTTTCAATTTAGGCCCCGTCCAAACTTATGCGTCAGTTTCGTTTGAAAACGCGTACATTTCGACGAGTTTAGGCCTTTCGTTCACACTAACACGCTGAGTGTTTTCATCGAAAGCGCATCTATTTGAAAACGCTCTCGAAAATGGATCAAAACGAAAACGCATACATTTTAATTCGTATTAGTGCGGACGGTCGAAAACGCAACAAAAGTGAAAAGGATGACGTCATATGTACCACGTGGGTTGTAAAATATCGCAGGCGCGTGTGTTTGTAGCATGGGCATAGCGTTCAACTTACGTCACGACGTACAATTCTATCGTTTTCGAACGTTTTAGCATGGACGATCGAAAACGCATCAAATCAAAACGGTAGGTGGACGCGAATCGATCGATGCGTTTTCGATGACAAACGAAAACGCATACTACAGGGCCTTAGTTTTACTGAAGCTTTCGGATCTGCTTAATTTAGCAACTAAAGTGATCTACAAAGCAAGGGAAAGAGTCTTCGTAAGACTGACAATTTACATCTTTATTTGTAACTGTAAAACAATGCATATTATTACAGTCAAACCAGGTCAAGCGTACCCCCCAAGAATGCATTAATGAATTTATTATTCAAAAGTTGAATCCGTTGCTAGTTGTAGATTTCAGATTGATCTCTGCATTCTTGTATGTGTAATGAGCCGTGAATTCACACGCGAGGCATTTATGAAATTTCTACCAGCTCCATTTTCCTGAAATTGATGTAAATGTCTTCTAAGAAGCTTAATCCATTCAAAGATTTCCAATCTGACCAAATACAGAGAAGTTCTCGTAAAATATTCACTGCTCATTACGCATGCAGAAATGCCGCTTTGAATTTGACACCAGTTACGGGAACGACTAACGGATTCATTTTTCAAATAATCAATTCACTGATAGAATCTTGGGGGGTACGCTTGACTTGGTTTGACTGTAAAGTGTAAATAAACGTGTTTTAATGAATAAATATTAATAACTTTCTAAGATTGTATAACTCTCGATGTTTCTTCACGAAGCACACAAGTCCCTAACCATTAACCTGAAGATTAATCACACAAAAAGACTGACAGACTTTGTTACACATGTGCTTCAAACAAAACTATCAGAAAAAGGGAAACGAGTAAAAACGGAGCGGAGAGGAGGAATTATAATTGAAAGTGCAAATGAAAAAGTTATGGGGTGGAGTTCGTAAAATGGTATTCTACCGCAGTGCACAAAAATAAAAATTGTTTTGGTAAAAATTTTAACCATGACTAAAAGAAATGATCAACTATGGTACTTGATATAGAGCGTCCTGGAGGAGAGGGGGGATTCCAAAATAACAAGGGGTACAGGTGTTGCTTCTCTTTTTCTCTTTAAAGATACTATCACTAATTTTGGTATTATCATTTCGGTAGTCCTCATACAATTTGTGTCCACACAATCGCGTTTCCAGAGTCCTCGTTACCCTTGTCCAGCGGAACGGGCAATGACGCTCCACTGGACAAGGGTAACGCAAACTCTGGTTACGAGGTTGGTGTTAACGCTTCGTATACGCAGGCACCGATCACACTCTCCCTTATATTTGCCTTTGGGCTTTTGCAGCGCGTTGTGTTCTAAGAAATTATATTAAAAACCTTTGTCATCCTGCATTTGTAGCAGTGAAGATTTCACATCTTTTTTACCTCAGTTCTATTTGAGTTTTAAAAAGCTCAAAACACTCCTACACTAGTCTCACTAATGTTCTAATGAGCATCACAGTAGCACTATCCTCATATGGATCTGAGTAAAACAGAATTTCATGAATGGAGTTGCTTGTAGCCTGAG